AGTCAGGGTGAGAAGGTTGGGAGAGTGTCTCTCTCTCTCTCTCTCTCTCTCTCTCTCTCTCTCTCTCTCTCTCTCTCTCTCTCTCTCTCTCTCTCTCTCTCTCTCTCTCTCTCTCTCTCTTCGATAGTCACAGACTGTCACGTACATAGAGGACCGTGACTCACCATCCGTGGCATAGTCACTGCCTCCCACGTACATAGAGGACCGTGACTCACCGTCCGTGGCATAGTCACTGCCTCCCACGTACATAGAGGACCGTGACTCACCGTCCGTGGCATAGTCACTGCCTCCCACGTACATAGAGGACCGTGACTCACCGTCCGTGGCATAGTCACTGCCGCCCACGTACATAGAGGACCGTGACTCACCGTCCGTGACATAGTCACTGCCGCCCACGTACATGGGACCACAAGCGACCACCAAACACCGGATAAAGCGACCGGCTGGTATCACCCGCCACCAGGCAATTCACATTCAAATCAACGCCATAGAGTACGGCCTGCAACTTGCAATTGAATACATTCTCCATTCCCCAACGCGCTCTGGGTTTGAAAAGTTGATTACGTATTGTTGTGTTGAGAGGCCGGTGGAGCTGCCAGGTGCTCCTGGGAAGCCATTGTGCTGGCTTATTCTATTTATTAACACCATCAGAATGGTGGCTTGGTTGGGCCGGCCACTCAGGTAACTATACCTGGCCTCACACTCCGCCCGCTGGGTCACATGGGCAGCTGCTGGCCGGCTGGCCCTTGTCTGAGTGGTTGGTTGACCATCTGAGTGGCTAGTGAGTGGTTGGTTGACCATCTGAGTGGTTGGTTGACTATCTGAGTGGCTAGTGAGTGGTTGATTGACCATCTGAAGGGTTGGTTGACCATCTGAGTGGCTGATTGACCATCTGAAGGGTTGGTTGACCATCTGAGTGGCTAGTGAGTGGTTGATTGACCATCTGAGTGGCTGATTGACCATCTGAAGGGTTGGTCGACCATCTGAGTGGCTAGTAAGTGGCTGATTGACCATCTGAAAGGTTGGTTGATAATCTGAGTGGCTAGTAAGTGGTTGATTGACCATCTGAGTGGTTGATTGACCATCTGAAGGGTTGGTTGACCATCTGAGTGGCTCTGAGGTACTGATTGACTATCTACTTGGTTGGTGAGAGACTGATTGACCCTCTGAGTGGCTTTTGAGGAACTGATTGGCTGTCTGAGTGGTTGGTGAGGTACTAATTGACCGTCTGAATGATTGGTGGGGACGGGAGAGGGGGGGAGGGGAGGGAGCTGATTGACCTTGTGAGTGGCTGATGAAAGTCTGAGTGGCCGTCTGATTGGTGGATGAAGGACTTATTGGCTTACGGGCTATTCATGCCCGTGCCACCTCTTGAGTGGCTTAATCTTCATCAATCATCAATGAGCAGTTGGCTGGTCTGGGTCACGATCCCCTGGATGTCTGTCCCAGCGTGACGGATGTCTGTCTCAGCGTGACGGATGTGTGTCCCAGCGTGACGGATGTCTGTCCCAGCGTGACGGATGTCTGTCCCAGCGTGACGGATGTGTGTCCCAGCGTGACGGATGTCTGTCCCAGCGTGACGGATGTGTGTCCCAGCATGACGGATGTCTGTCCCAGCGTGACGGATGTCCTCATTTCGTCGTACGGTGAGACTGCGCATCCACGTTTCAAAATATAATCTGAAAACACGGTTAATTACCAATTAACAAAAAAAGTTAACGGCATAAATGGAATGAATATTAGAACACAACTGAACAACCTGGAGAACAAGGCAGACTTGAGAACAACGAGGTTCCGTTATTGAGGATTCTATAGTGAATATTCGTAATGAGGATTGATTTTAGAAGACTCGTTAGTGAATACTAATTTGAGAAGATTAGAAAGCGTGAATTGGTTTGCCAAGAATCCCGAGTGAGGATTGGTTGGTAAGAATTAGTTAATGACTACATTACGACACGGAGGTCCTCGGTAAGTCTGATTTAAGTCTCAGAAGACTTTTAAAAGACCACAGAATATATGTGTGTGTATGTATATGTATGTGTATAAAGTACATATGGAAGCTGATCAGAATTGCATTTCACCTTTGTAAATGCATATTAATGACACTTCGATCACTTTATGTAGAGCATACGTAAATCTGTGTATCTATGTATTTACGTATGTAGGTTAGCTTAGCTTTTTAAAAGTACCGAATCACCTTCTGTGGTTGAGTGTTCAATAAATCCCTGAACTATATGTTTAACACATCTCTAACCCTGTCCATGGAGGACAGAAGAAAATGTATATATGCTGGTTAGCATTGTAAATGTGTGGCCACGTCTGTGGTAGAAAATAATAATAAAAAAAAACCTCATCAAGTCAGTTTATACAAATGAAATTGATGTATTGAATAACCAGATGATATAACAGTCAATTCCCCCATTATACACATCATCTCCTATAAAATTCTAGACCAAGTTTGAAGCTCTGAGAAGAGATCAATCAAAGGGACCAGCTGGAATACTTGGACGCGAATTGAAAGAGTTGAATAATGTGTTAAATGAACCATTGTTCATCGTCGTTCCCTCGTTAATGACTACCGGCTGAGTCGCTGATGGGTTGAGGATGGCTTATTCATCATGATGAATAAGCCATACTAAAAATGTGAAAATATAGAGTTACTGATAGTCGCTCGGGTACATATGGGTACAGGAAGCTTGAAAAGCCTTTGCTGTAGGAGGTCACTGCAGGTTACTGCCAAGTAAATGACCTGTTGAGTAGTTAGTGATGGTGTTGAGTAGTTAGTGATGGTGTTGAGTAGTTAGTGATGGTGTTGAGTAGTTAGTGATGGTGTTGAGTAGTTAGTGATGGTGTTGAGTAGTTAGTGATGGTGTTGAGTAGTTAGTGGTAGTGTTGAGTAGTTAGTGATGGTGTTGAGTAGTTAGTGATGGTGTTGAGTAGTTAGTGATGGTTTAGTTATGGCCCATTTCCGATGCTATTCTCGTATCTTCGCCTGGAACCACACAAGGAGTTAGCCTCATTTAGCTTCCTGTTCTTGTTCACTCCACTTGTTCACTGTTCTTAAGACTGAGGAAGTTCTTCCTCATATGCACGATTGTTCAGTTTCAACCTTCTTCCTCTTGTCCCGCCTCTGTTCATGATGAACACTTCGGTTCACTTCATTTTGTTAATGTTTTTAACAATGTTTTTGTCCAACCGAAATTACACTAAATAACCTTCCACCTTAATTCCACGTAGACATTACAAAATCCTCCACCATCATGTCAACCAGACTACCCAGCCCGCCATCACCGGCTCAACCATACAGTGGACGACCTTCCACAGTCACCAACCATACAGTGGACGACCCTCCACCACCACCAACCATACAGTACACGACCCTCCACCACCACCAACCATACAGTAGACGACCCTCCACCACCACCAACCATACAGTAGACGACCCTCCACCACCACCAACCATACAGTAGACGACCCCTCCACCCCCACCAACCATACAGTACACGACCCTCCACCACCACCACCAACCATACAGTAGACGACCCCCATCGCCACACCAACCATACAATAGACGACCCCCCACCACCAACAACCATACAGTAGACGACCCTCCACCACCACCAACCATCCAAGAACCCAACTGTTCAGTCAACAGACACACACACATTGCAAGAGAAGAACAGAGAAGCGCCTGGCTGACAGCGCCCGTTGAAAGGGAACTCGGATCGTCCCCTTACACCAAGTTAACGCGTGTAATTGGATAGTTAACTCAGTAATGAGCCAGCACGCTTAGCGAGGATCGCCAGGGCTTACCACACTGAATGTGGGGATCACCAACAAGTGTTGCGCAATTGTTAAACATTTGCAACATTTGCATCGCACACAAGTCGTTGTGTGCGAGAACTAGCAACTGCTAATTACAGGATCCCAGCTGGTTGCACTGACGGCCCATTATAACCTGTTTGTCTATTTATCTAAGTAAAGGACGGGTGTTTGCAACATAATATATATTAATAATCACTAAAAAACATTAGTAACAACATTATATATGAACAACTAGTTTGCATAAATATGTAATGATAGTTGCTCTAATGTTTAATCCCAATAACATTATTGCAAACACCAACATTTACTACACAGAAACAGAGATTGTTAAATATGGCAAAGGTATTTTATACACGTCTTTACCCCCTGCTCAAAAGTACTTGTTATAATGTATTGTAATTCAACCCCCCTTCCCCCCCCCCCACATACATACACACACACACACACACACACACACACACACACACACACACACACACACACACACACACACACACACACACACACACACACACATATATATATATATATATATATATATATATATATATATATATATATATATATATGCTCAACCGCGAGATGAGTTGGAACTCGCGGTGGTAAAGGTGTACCCAGTAATCAGCGCGAGGTTGTTAGAGTCTGAGACCAGTCTGACTGTGAGACTGCCAGGGAAGATGATGAACTCCGCCTCAACACGTCTTGGTATATATATATATATATATACATAATGAGGTATACTCATTATACTCATAAACTGCTCAGTCTCTCTTCCAGCCTTCCTCATCCTTGCTTTCCCCCCCATCCTTTCCTATTGTTGCTCCCTGCTCCCCTCATCCTTACTGACTCTCTATCTCATTTCTCATTCAATCAAAGTTTACAGACAGTTCCGGTGTTTCACAATTATACCTAAATTGCTAATTGTTTAACAGTTAAACTGAACGAGGCTGTGTGTGCTCTCTCTGTCTCTGTCTGTCTGTCTGTCTGTCTGTCTCTCTCTCTCTCTCTCTCTCTCTCTCTCTCTCTCTCTCTCTCTCTCTCTCTCTCTCTCTCTCTCTCTCTCTCTCTCTCTGAGACGGCTGCTCTTCCTCTGACAGCTGAGGAAGTAGGCTACTCCCTCCTACTCTCTCACAGCTGAGGGAATGGTGGGAGAGGAGCTGCTCCCTCCCACTCTCTCACAGCTGAGGGAATGGTGGGAGAGGAGCTGCTCCCTCCCACTCTCTCACAGCTGAGGGAATGGTGGGAGAGGAGCTGCTCCCTCCCACTCTCTCACAGCTAAAGGGAGAGGTGGGAGAGGAGGCTGCGTCATTAGTGAGAGTTATAAAAATATTGGAGGATGCTTGAGTTCCTCCATTGTTTCCTTGACAGATGTTATGGTGAGTGGCCCGTTCCTCATGTTTATGAGGGCTGACGTCCCGTTCCTCATGTTTATGAGGGCTGACGTCCCGTTCCTCATGTTTATGAGGACTGACGTCCCGTTCCTCATGTTTATGAGGGCTGACGTCCCGTTCCTCATGTTTATGAGGACTGACGTCCCGTTCCTCATGTTTATGAGGGCTGACGTCCCGTTCCTCATGTTTATGAGGGCTGACGTCCCGTTCCTCATGTTTATGAGGACTGACGTCCCGTTCCTCATGTTTATGAGGGCTGACGTCCCGTTCCTCATGTTTATGAGGACTGACGTCCCGTTCCTCATGTTTATGAGGGCTGACGTCCCGTTCCTCATGTTTATGAGGACTGACGTCCCGTTCCTCATGTTTATGAGGACTGACGTCCCGTTCCTCATGTTTATGAGGACTGACGTCCCGTTCCTCATGTTTATGAGGACTGACGTCCCGTTCCTCATGTTTATGAGGGCTGACGTCCCGTTCCTCATGTTTATGAGGACTGACGTCCCGTTCCTCATGTTTATGAGGACTGACGTCCCGTTCCTCATGTTTATGAGGACTGACGTCCCGTTCCTCATGTTTATGAGGGCTGACGTCCCGTTCCTCATGTTTATGAGGACTGACGTCCCGTTCCTCATGTTTATGAGGACTGACGTCCCGTTCCTCATGTTTATGAGGGCTGACGTCCCGTTCCTCATGTTTATGAGGGCTGACGTCCCGTTCCTCATGTTTATGAGGACTGACGTCCCGTTCCTCATGTTTATGAGGGCTGACGTCCCGTTCCTCATGTTTATGAGGGCTGACGTCCCGTTCCTCATGTTTATGAGGGCTGACGTCCCGTTCCTCATGTTTATGAGGGCTGACGTCCCGTTCCTCATGTTTATGAGGGCTGACGTCCCGTTCCTCATGTTTATGAGGGCTGACGTCCCGTTCCTCATGTTTATGAGGGCTGACGTCCCGTTCCTCTTTCGGGGGCATCAAAGAGCCCCTGACGTCAAAGAGAGCAAACTCTGATATCACGCAAATAATTGATGTTCTTGAAAGAAAATAAACCTCTACATTGATGTTACGCGATTTCATTTCAACAATTTAATTAAATTTCAATTCAATTTAAATTAATTTCCACATCCAATTTAACACCCTTCCAAATATAGGCAATTAACCTCAAAAAATCTATTAAACCATCTCATCGGCTGCCGTCGAGTGCCGTAAATTTAAACGATGATAAAAGTCCAACTTTCAAAAAGTACCCTTGAGAGATATTAAGAAACTATTTCACCGAAACTGACACCAATTTGGTCACGCTCTTGTGCTTATTGCGAACAATCATGAGTTAGTTGCTCGGAGCCCAGGGAACGTTTAGAACATCGTTACTACCGGTATTTTACGAGTTACGTTCAGTTTTTCCCAACAACATTTTTGTGTGTGTGTCTTTTTAGTTACAAATCAATTTTGCAATTAAGAAAGGAAATATTATCATTCGAGCATGTTTTTTGGAGCAATTCCTTTTATCAGAGATGGGAGAGAACTAAGAGAGATTATGGGAGACTGCGAAGAGAGGCAGAGGAGAGAGGAAGAGAGTCACAGACCAGGAGTAGGGACGGGGGTGAGAGAGGGGGGGGGAGAGAGAGAGGGTGAGAGAGGGGTTCAGAGAGAGACGGTGAGAGAGGATGAGAGAGAGAGGATGAGAGAGGGGGGGGGGCAGAGAGAGAGAGAGGGTAAGAGAGGGGTTCAGAGAGAGACGGTGAGAGAGGATGAGAGAGAGAGAGAGAGAGAGGATGAGAGAGAGGGGGGGGGGAGTGAGAGAAAGGAGGTGTCGGCACTGTAAACAAGGAGGCGGCGTAGGGGACAATGAGAAGGAAATGGAAGATTGACAGAAGCTACATTTTGTCAACCTTCAATTTCCACTACAGACCTGCAGTACTACCATGACGGACCAGGGGTCAGCGAACCACAGGGTCTGACCCTGTGTGACCCCACAGGGTGGGAACGCTGACTAATTAGTTAGTAGTTAGTAACAGCTGATTGATTGACAATTGAGAGGCGGGCCGAAAGAGCAGAGCTCAACCCATGCTAGCACAACTAGGTGAATACACACACACACACACACACACACACACACACACACACACACACACACACACACACACCATTAGTCCTCCTTACTGGAGTTAGCTTCTTGAGGGTTACCCAACTTCCCCGCTTGAAGGAGATGAGTGGCTACCTCTACACCGGTAAACTGCTTCAAGATAACACGAGTTTACGACCAGCTATCATAACAGTATACCCAACTACACCAGACTTTACTCAAGTCTCCTGCACTCCGCCGGCTGATAGACAACAGTACTATTACGTGTACTAACGATGTAGTTAAGAACCAGGGCTACTAGTAACTAGTTATTAGTGCAAGTTTGTAATCTAATAGTACAGGAACAAAGAGAATTCCCTGGAGTTTAGTGTAAATATCGAGGATTTAGTGAATGTGGATTAATGACTAACGGATCTGTCGTGGTTACACGACAGGCAGTGTCTGGGATGCTCCCGGACGCAGGTTCGAATCCTCGTCACGGCCCTTGTGGATTTGTTCTGTCGTGGTTGTCGAGGGGCCGTTTCAGCATTCGTCGTTCCATAAAGACGACCGCTAAAGTGAGTATTGGTCGTCTCCTCGAAGTTTCCTTCATCAATTTCTTCTCTCTCAACTACACCCACAATTCTGTTTCTCCTCACTAGCTTATTCCTTCTGATCTAACTACCTCCCACAAGCTACACACGCGCACACACATACACGCACACTCACGAACGCCAACACATACACTCACGCAAGCTCCATAGCGCACACATAAACACACTCACAAACGCAAAGCACACTTAAGCCCGCACTCAAACATAGTCATACACAGATGTGTAGTTAGATATACACTCTAACAGCTGCTACATTAACGCTTCACGAGCAGCTGGACAACTGTCCACAAAAATGGTTGAAGTAATTAAGACTCCATTCTGAAAAGCTTGATTTTGGAGGTTTCCCAGAGACGAGGACCAGACTTGCTGCTGCTGATAGTGCTGACACCACTACAGCGGTGCTGACACCACTACAGCTGTGCTGACACCACTACAGCGGTGCTGACAACACTACAGCGGTGCTGACAACACTACACCAGCGCTGACAACACTACAGCGGTGCTGACACCACTACAGCTGTGCTGACAACACTACAGCGGTGCTGACACCACTACAGCGGTGCTGACAACACTACACCAGCGCTGACAACACTACAACGGTGCTGACAACACTACCGCGGTGCTGACAACACTACACCAGCGCTGACAACACTACAACGGTGCTGACAACACTACAGCGGCGCTGACAACACTACAACGGTGCTGACAACACTACAGCGGCGCTGACAACACTACAACGGTGCTGACAACACTACAGCGGCGCTGACAACACTACAACAGCACTGACAACACTACAGCGGCGCTGACAACACTACAACAGCACTGACAACACTACAACAGCACTGACAACACTACAACAGCACTGACAACACTACAGCGGTGCTGACAACACTACAGCGGAGTAATATCACCGTTGGAAAATCTACAACAAAGTTCTGTGCCGAAATTAAAGAAAATACAGATCATACCATTTTGAAATTCCTGCTGGAACTGACGATTTCACTGTAGCAAGGATACAGTCTCCAGCGTAAACTGTAGACTCAGTTTTCCCTGTATCTTGCAACTACTGTCACTACTGAGAGTTAATGAAACTACTATTACTACCACCACTACTTCTACTACTACTACAACACTTAGGGTACTTATCATATCTCTTCTATGCTGTGAGGCGTTCAGTTAGGTCAGAAACTCCGAGGAAGACTCCATACACGCATTCCTATCAGACCGGTCGAAGGTTGAGAGGTGGGGCCCAAGAGCTGAGCCCCACCCATTGCTAAATGGGTATTTTCAATGTAGGAACCCCAGAGGCCGTTAATGGGTGGATTGTAACCACCTAATTCCTGTCCTCTAGCTGGGGGTTACAGAGCGGGAGTGTTATTGAACCCAAACACGACACCTGCCATTATCCAAGGAGTTTTGTGCCAATGAAGATAAAAACAGTGTAAAGTCACTATGTAGTGAAGGCTGGTGTGGTCATGGTACCCCTCACGACCGTCTGTTGTTGTTGGCATCCTGTATTTTTGCTGTTTGTTAATTCATCCGTTCTCTCTCTCTGTCTGTAACTCTTTTTATTCCACACACACAGTCTGTTTGTCTCGCTATTCCTTTTTATATTTCTGCTTCTTCATTTTCTCACTCTTTTTGTCTCTCTCTCTTTCTCATTGTATCTCTCTCTGTCTCTCTCTCTCTCTCTCTCTTCTCTCTCTCTGTCTCTGTCTCTGTCTCTGTCTCTCTCTCTCTCTCTCTCTCTCTCTCTCTCTCTCTCTCTCTCTCTCTCTCTCTCTCTCTCCCTCCCTCCCTCCCTCCCTCCCCCCCCCCTCTCACGCCATCCAGCCAACCCAGAGCAAACTAATAAAACACACACGTGAGCGTCCGCCACTGAAACAAATTTCCAACAATGTTTTTATCAAGACTTTTAACGATAACGTTTCCAGTTCCCAAAATATCTTAAAAGTAACAATTCATTTATTTTTCGCATGCAGACATTTTACTGATACATGAATACAATATTGAATGATTTCTAAAAAAAAATATCCAGGCAATGAAGATCATTGATGAAACATATGATTTTCATATTTTCTTATTTGGCTATTTATCTGGCCTTTCTAGTCTTGCCCTTTGACCTCGTCTTGCCTCTTGGCCTTGTGTCTTGGCCTCGCCTCCTGGCCTCGCCTGCTGGCCTCGGCTAAATGTTCAAGATCAGAGAAGCAACTTCAATGTCGACTCACCAGATAACATCTCTGGAGCAAGATGCTGCCTGCTCACACATTCAGAGATGCTGAAGATAGAAATCTGTGCGAACTTCGAAGAGTCAAATATGCCAATCGTCTCATATTTTGGGTTTGAGAATACCCTTCTTATGTAGTGATAATGTATGAACATTGCTGCGTGTAAAATGTTGTTACGTTCATTGGTTGGCAATACTGCTACAGCAATAACAGCAGAAGCTACAGCAGCAGCATCAATAACAGCAGAAGCAATATGAACATCAGGAACAGTAGCAACAGCAGCAGCAGCAGCAACACACCAGCCTCCATTTCTCGGTCACTTATACTCTCCCCATCCCTCTCTCTCTACCCCCTTCCAGCCTCACATTCTTCCCTACTCTTCCTCACCCACCCTTGCACTCCCCTTCACACCTCCTCCCTTCCCAGCTATTCCCTCACACTCCAGTCTCACCCTCAGACTCACACACTTCACCCTGCCCTTCCCAGATCACCCTGATGCTCCACTTCCCTCAGCATTTGTCCTCTCTACACACGCAATAATTTTTGGCCCACAGCCTCCCAACTTAAACAAATGACCAACCAATATTTCCCGCCTCGCTGACAAGGACAACAGGACCCGGGACGTCCCCCGCTGGTAACTCACAGTGTTGTGTTCCACAGACTTTGTGTCTGTGTACACAGACACAAAGTCTGTGTGTGGCTTTAACGGCACGTCGTCCAACTGACGAGGTGTGTCAAGATGCCCACACACATACGGACACAAACACACGAGAGAGAGACAGAGACAGAGACAGAGAGACAGAGAGAGAGAGAGAGAGAGAGAGACAGAGAGAGACAGAGACAGAGAGAGAGAGAGAGAGAGAGAGAGAGAGAGAGAGAGAGAGAGAGAGAGAGAGAGAGAGAGAGAGAGAGAGAGAGAGAGACAGAGACAGAGACAGAGAGACAGAGAGAGAGAGAGAGACAGAGAGAGACAGAGACAGAGAGAGAGAGAAACAGACTATCTATTCGAACCTTACAAGATATCTTCAGCGGCTCAGGGAAAGCCAGCCCCGTCCCACTTCAACCTTCC